ACACGGTGGGTCTTTAGTGGCACTGGGCTCGAACTCATGACATGCCTGCCATGATCCGATACCTTGACTACTGGGCTACCGCAGCCCCTCAGGGGCAATAAAGGATCCAAAGAAAACTAGGGGGCGTTGAGATGGCACAGAGGGGCTTCGGCAGATTAACCAAATATAGTCTACAAAAGATTTTAAAGAAACACGCTGATTATGTACTAACTAAAGTAAACTTTGATACTGGTTACCTTATATTTATTGTATGTATATTTAAATTATTTCTATCACGTGCACGAAAATTCACATATTTCGGTAGTTCAGAAAGTGGATAAAAAATTTAAAGATTACATTACATTCAGATCTATATATTAAATTGAATGATATAGTAAGTTTCAATTTCTTTAGTGTGCATGTTGTCTTGGTCTGTGAGCAGTAAGAAAACTGTTTCGCCAACTGCATTTCATTACGTATATTATCCAAGAAATATAATTAAATACTTTAACCAGGAATTAACGTGAGATTCTTTAAAGACTGAAACTGTCAATTTTTTTTTATTTTGAAAGCAATACCTTATTGTGAATTACTTCATATCATCAAAACCTTCTTTCAAAAATGTCTTTATAAGAGGTAAGCTAAAACTTTTATTCCACTCTTTTAAATAAAGAAGTAATTCAATAGCGTTTCAATATTCCAACAATATCCTATCCAAAACTAAAATATATAATATTACACATTTAAATATATTTGTGGCAATAGCTATTTCAGGTTTGCAAGTAAAAAAAATTGGGAGCTATAGGAAAAAAATATAAATAATAAAATTAAAAAAATATATTCGATTAGTAAAAGAATATTTTTTAAAAATTTAATTCTTGTTTTCACCATGTATTATGTACATTCTTACTTCTCTAGAGTGGGTGGGAGCGATATCGAAATATTCACTAGAAAAGGGGTGCCAGTTCAAAAAAGGTTGGGATTTCTTATGCTAAAAAACAAAATAGATCTATAAGAGCAATGAAATTTACTGTAGAATAACAACCCTTAAAATGCAAGATAAGATATAAAATTAGCACAATATATATAAGTTCCAGAAGGTTTTCACACCTTCTAACACAGTGATTCCCAAAGTGATTTATATAGACCCCCAGGGTTCTATGCAAGGGGTTCACGTCAGCAAAAAAATAATTTGGGGGTCTATGTGATTTGGCTCTCATTAAACTAGATCGTGACTTCAATTTTAAAAGAAAGTTTAATCAAGGGGAAATCAAATTTTACTTATTTAGCAGATTTATTTACTAAATTTAATGAGGTTAATTTGCCCGTACAAGGTGACAATATAAATTTTTTTAAAACAGGAACCATTTCAGCATTTCTTTCCAGAGTTAAACTAAAGAAGTATAATACTGGAGTTCCGGATTTTTCTCAAATTAACACAAACAATCTGTCAGTACGTTTTAACCTACGTTCCTCAACATTTAACTGCTTTTTATTCAGATTTTGAAACCAGGTTTGAGAAGGCTTTGACTGTGGTAATACCACAGTAGGCAATGAATTTATGCGGTCATATTGAAAAAAAAAATGTCACATGACAACAGGAACTGATTGTGCTACGCACCAATGAAGATTTTAAAGTTTAGAAACGGATGCCAGCAATTTTGGCTTTAAAAAGGCAAACCTGTTATTTGTCCCGAATTATGGAATATCGTGAGGAAGTTTTTAATTATTTTTCCTAGTAAGAAGGAGCTTCAGTTGACAATCTCCAAAACAAAAAAAAACAAACAAAAAAGAAACTGGACACTACTAACAGATGAGATTTAAGGTTAAAGCTGACAAGATTGATACTAAATGTTGAAAATTTGTTATTGTGTAGCGCCAGATTCATCCCTCCCATTAAAATCAATTGTGTGTTGTTTGGTTATTTTATTTTTTAACAGTCATTTTATATATATTTTAATTAACTTTTAATTTAATTAATTAACATATGCTTTTTAAACTTTTAACTCTATACTTCATTAGTTATAAATTGAATTCTCTTAAAGTAGTAGTACTAGCTATCAAAAAGACATTTACTTTCATAAATTTGGAAAAATTCAATATTAATGAAGCAGGGGTCTACCCTATACCGAAAAACATGGCAAGGGGTCTATGAGACAAAAAAAAGTTTGGGAACCTGTGTTCTGACAGCCGCCTATTCAGTATAGTGGTTAGTGACGCTGACTGCTGATCCGTAGGGTCTGGGTTCGAATCTCGGAGAAGGTATGGATGTTTTTAATCTACAGTGCCTTCGCGGCATGGGGATACTCTAAACAGCCGTAGAGCCGATAGTCCTTTAGTGAGGTTTGGTGGAAGGGGAAGAAAGGTGGGAAGCCCTGGACCACCCTAGGAAGTTCGCCCTCAAAATTGATATGGAAACGAGCTAAATCGTACTGTCACCTTGTGATGGATGTGCTCTCACATTCATCAGTGTTCAAGAGTTAGAAGGAATATTAGTCGTAATCAAAACAAATATAATTTATTAACAAGTCTCAGCAACCTAACAAATCTCAATAACGCAGGTTAAGAAATGCACTTTTAAGTAAGTGTGGGAGCTAAAGCGACGTAGACGAGATAAATAATATTTAATTATAAATTGAATCACACTTACTCTTGGAACGTCTTGGCAATACACGTTCAAAATAATCGAAATTCCGTTCTAAGTTCATCTACTTCAGGCAGATAACATTCCAATTTAATTATCTAATTGAGTAATTCGTCAATCTTCAATTTTAAATGTTAAGCGAATAATCTACGAATCGATCTCGACTACCTTTCTATTACTTTACGTTAATCACTAGCTTCTATCATCTAGCTCCTAAAATCTCTATCCATCTATCGAACCTAAAAGTTAATGCGTAAATATAAGCCTTTATTTAGATAAGTCCTATCTTCTTCTTCGAGAGAAAGTTTTCAAAAGTATAATATTTAAAGAAACAGTTTTTCTCCAAGAGGATTAGTAGGAGGTTCGCTAATAGACCTGTTACACAATCTGCAAGGTGCTCAAAGCTGCGGTTAATAAAAGGCTTACAATCTTGCCCTTTGCCATGTTGAATTACGTGGACTTCTGTCAAACACTGCTGATCAGGTGGAATTAGCAATAACTACAACACAGAACTCAGACAAAACTATCAATGTCTAAAAGTGCAGGCACGTAACTTTAAAAAGATTATCCTCAAGCAACCACTCGGTCGTAAACAAGTGAACTTTTTAACAGCTGAAGCAGTACTGACTCAGTTTCGGCAAGCTGCTACTATTTACAATCTGCGCGGCTACCTTCTAGTGCTATCTCAAAAATCAACTTACATCATAGGTTATGGGTTATAGGCTCTTCCAGCAATATCGAGAAGCATCTATATGGCCGGGAAGTCGGCAAAAATGATGCCAATGTGGCTGTATCTGCAATATTTCGTTATTGAAACACCATTATAATGTAATGGACGGCGTTTCTTGTAGTTTTCATCGAAAAATTGCCGCAGAAATTAGCATTAACATATTAAACATGCCGATTTAAATTATTTACTCTATTTTAAAATTAATTACACAGAATTCGTAACAGTATATAACATTAAAGACTAAGATGAAAAATTATTAATTTCTTCAAGGGAGAGTTATATCTCTTACCGAATTCTATTTTATTTTCATAACTTTTTCAAAGTAACCTTCAATTAGGATTTTAATTTATTTTTATTGATAATTGAGGGATACGAATGAAATAAAGGGACGTTTAAGGAACTATTAATCTGAATGATTACTATCTATTTTATGTATCAAATAACGGCAGATTATACTACAGCTTAACTATTTTTTCCCTTTCTACTGGCACTGCTTACTCTGAATAATCCTTACTGTAAAGTCTTCCATTCCATTTAGTTAATGAATGCAAAATGATCCTGAGAATTCTCTCATTAAGGTCATCAGCTCAAAGGAGATGCAAAAGCATCCTTTACGGGCTCTTGCTTAAGTGAGAAATGCCGCACTGCCGACGCTACAATTTAATCAGCCCTATTCCTAAATGGCGTGGAAAAAGAGCACTCAACTCCTTTTGAAAGACAAGAAAACTGAAGGGAAATGCATAGAAAAAAAGAACACTTCAAAAGTCTTTTCTCATTAATTTTTTTTAAATTTCGTACACTCTTTCAAAGTTTTTAAAAAAACTCATTCTTCCGTAAACTCTCTCCACTTGAATACCTCGTTAAAGTACCTGTATTGGACAATAGATGGCGTTACGAACGAGATTTCAATGAAACTTGAGGGAAAAAAATCACAGCTGCTGACTTCCGAGAGGCAGGTTTTATATTAAGGCTAAGAGAACATGAGTACTTTTATCTTCATACTCCGTATGAGTTATTGCCAGACAACAAATTTAAAAACATATTTTTTCGAAAGGGCCGCAATTCAGCTTATGTGGGGAGGCTTTTACAGAAACGTGCCGTTTTCTTTTTCTTTTTGTGAATAACTGTTCGCGATTTCCTGATATGGATCGTATACTTCACTGTGCTCGTTTGTGTGATTTTAAAGGGATTATCTAAAAAATAAAACTATATATATATATATATATATATATATATATATATATATATATATATATATATATATATATATATATATATATTGATCTGTTGTTTGTCTCGATACGTCATGTATAAACGTATCTTAACCCTTGCGTACTGATGGCTGAAAATCCCTTTGTTTGCGATTTTGTAAAGTTGAGTATAAATTCTGAAATTTTTTTTGTTAAGGATATTCAATGCTATTTTTCCAATTCCTACTGTTAGTTCACCCTTTCCCTATACATATATTTTGTTCAGATAAAATACATTTTATTCATGCATTCAAGTTCAAATACATTTTTTTAAAACATGTAGTGGATGACACTTGATGTTAATGCAGTTTTTTCAAATATTAATTCATGAATTAAATTGAAAAACAAACAAAATAATGATCCAACAGCATATATAGAAAGGAAAATCGTTCGTTGTGTCTCTGTAGCGCAATGGTAAGCGCTTTGGACTTCTCATCCGAAGGTCTTGGGTTCGAATCCTACCTGGGATTGTCTAACTTCTGAATGCGATTTCTTTTTGCTATACCTTTTTACTGGAATAGTTAAATTTAATGGATGAATAAATAGTAGCAAAAAAAAGTGTAGTTCAGCACCATATATAGAAAGGAAAATGGAAAATCGCCTTCTACTTTATCGTTTAATATTGTGATTCTGTCATATGTATATATCATGTATTAGAGTAATTCTTAGATTGACAGGAGAAATGCAACGTGCAGCCGTTTATCACATTATATTTTATTTCAGTATTCAGCAAAGCCATCTGTACTACAAGCCATGACAAAACGAGTCCTATTTTCAGCGTCGATGAGGAGCCAGAGCGTCGTTCGTTCACGTGGTTCTTCGTAAGTTCACCGGAGTCGAAGTCAAAGTCCTTATGCGGGAGGTGGGTTGAGTTGTTCTGGTAGGTTTTACCCCAACTGACACTTGAAGGGTCGGGGATTCATCACATATAAACATATTTATATTAATTGTAATTATTTAATAGAAAGTAACCAAAATAACATTTTTTTTTTGGTTGACCTAAGTAGGAATTGACTTAATTTTTTTTTTTTTCATAGTACTTGTTATACATTAAAGACGCTTTTCTGTAACAAATGTTTTCTATAAATAAAAACTTCAGTTTAAGTCCCCCCCCTCTGGTCAAGAGCTCGTGGACGGGGAGTCGCGAGTTCGAGTCCTGGTGTTACTGAACATCCGCCTTGTAGAGGGGATCGATGCACGTTCAATCTGTAGAGGTTCAATGTTCTCCCTTTCGTGTAGTAGTCAGGAGGAAAATGCCAGATCAAGTGCCTTTTTCGTCTTTTTTCGTCACTTGATCTAGGCTTAAAATTACGAGGTTCATTGCCAATAACCTTCGTACCTTTTTATGATATCACGTTAATAAATACTCGCTTTTCATTCTTTTTTGAGATTTTACAATGGTTTTCCCACGATTATCACATTTTTGTAATGCACCTTTTGATGGTTAGGGCCACATTCTATTTTCTGTAACAATGTTAATGTAGGTAATTAAATTGCTAACAGGAATTTAATCTAACTATATGTTTTACGTGCATTCAAAATAACACTTAAATTTTAAAATAGAAAGACCGAGAGATTTTTTTTCCGATGTAAAATTAAATTCAATCGCCTCATTTTTGGCAATTTCCAATAATGATGATAATATATATCTCCTTATTTACCCTCATACATAAAGATAAGCGTCTCAATTATTCCTCACGAGATCTCCGGAACTATAAGACCTATTGACTTGAAATTTAGTAAGCATGTTTCTTTTGTTGAGTAGAGATCCGGTACGAACGGATTTGGCGGAAATCGAAATCTAAGGGTAGCTGCGGGTGCGTTGTAAGTGAAAATATCTGTCTTTGAGCTATTAATTCTGTGAACTTGAAATTTTGTGAGCATGTTTTTTTTTTTGTTAAAAATAAGCTTCGCAGAAATCGACTCCGGAGTAGGTTACCAGGGCATAGATGATTACTATAATTTCGCACAGAAATTCAAATGCTGACCTTTTCAAATCAAGAGGCAGAGATATGAATATCTTTTAATACAATTGAACGCTTAATTCTGGGATTTAGATATTAATAATTTGTATGTATACATATACACATGCGAGTAGAATTTTTAAAATTCATCTTTAAGATTTTATGATGTGTTGCAGAATTGAAGTTGGTTGACTTCACGTACATTTATTTGTAAGATTTTTTGCTCGACATACTCTTCCACAATTCGGAATTATTGTCTACATTCTATTTGAATTTTTTTATCTACCGAGTCGCTAAGAGGAAGGATGGTACCATGAAACTAGTTTAACCTCACATATTCGGTCCTAAGTCCGAAATTAATTTTTCACTAGCAGAGTGCCTTTTCCAATTTGAGTTCAATTACATAAATTTTCTTCCTTTTATATATTTATTATGTTGTTTCGTGATTTTTGTATTTTGTTTGTATTATTTATTTTTGAATGTTTTTGATATTTCTTACATTTTTATTTCACATATATATGTCGCAGGGAAATGGCGAAATTAGAAAATTCATCAAATCCATAAGGGAGATGATGATTTGTCGGGAGATGTTAAAATAACGTCTCTCTTCAAGGTCATTTTCCTGATGAAAGTGATTTTATCAAATCCTTGAACTGTTTCAGTGAAATGATGAAATGAACTAGTCCGGATTTGAATTGGCAAAATGTTAAACAGGGGGGCAAGACACCTGGGGGGGGGGTCGAGTCCTTGTACTTCCTAACCATACAGGTAGTACTATCGATTCCCTAAATATCAATCCCATATCTTTAAAAAATGGCATCATAGGATTAACATAGAAATTAATTACCAGCCTAATTTTTTAATTATTTGTTAATTTGTTTCGAATAAATAATTTGTATTTCATTGACTATTGTTGTATTACTTACTTCTACGTTTAATAATGCACCATATTTGTTAAATAAACACTTTTAAACTCTTGACAATATTATTTCATCATTTCACTGAAACAGCTCAGGGATTCGTTCAAATCCCTTAGTTTTATCAGGGAAATGACCTTGAAGATACGTAAGTTTAACATCTTAAGTGGCAGTTAAATTGTTCAGAATCTATCATGGTGAGTATGAAAACTCAAAATATTATAAATGTATTTCTATAAAACTTTTTGGACCTGATATTTATATTATTTTCTAGAGAATGTACTAAAATATTTCTTACTGTGTGAATATTTTTTTGAGCTATGGACTGTTATTTAAGTAATGGTCTCAAAGAACATTACATTTCTTGTAATATTTACTCGACCAGCTTATTACTTTTTCTCTAATTGCCTTGAAGTTTTTGAAAAATATTGCTGAAATTTCACTTTTAATTACGATTTTTTTTAAAATTTAGAGAATTTTTAAAAATATTGTTATAGTTTAATGTTAAATATTTGTAGTGGTTTTGACTCCTAAAAAAAGCCTTTATAATATTTTAGTATACTATTTTTTAAAAAAGTACCCCGAACGTGTTCGGATATCTTAACCAAAGCAAGAGATATGTGTACTACATATTTTATAATTTTAAACAACACATTTTCTTCAATTAATTTTAAATCCTTTTGAAAGGTTTTTGTGCAAATAATTCCTCGCCTTTCAAATAATTCCTGCAACAGAAGCATTCATCATTTATTATGAAAATATGTAATGCTTGTGATTTCTTATTTCTCTGTAAATTCTCGCACCGCTGCTCTTCCGACCGAAATAATGACGATTTCATTGCATCGCTTCGCCCAGGAACCAAAATCTCTGCTTCCGTATTTACTTCATCATGGATCAGCAAGTACTCTTCAGCGAGATGTTTTTAAGCTTCGTTTCACAGCATGTTACTAATTTGAGTTCCAGAGTGTTGCCATTTTGCAAGTGAAATATGCGTTCCCGAGGCTTAATATTCGGTTTTTGAAATTCTTTATTGCGTTTCGCCTAAGTACTTCTCATTTTCTGTGTTGAATGTGTAGAGATTAACCAAAATGTGTTATGTTGGAATGTAATATGTTAAATATTGATGGAATTTCAAAAACTTTGTTCATGTAAATAAATTGTAGAACATATACATATATAATTCATATTAGTTTTCTCTTCAGGGATATTAATCCACAATGGTCTTGAGCCCTCCAGGACTTTGCTTGATAATTAATTTCTAGTGAATGAGCTGTCGCGGTTGTGAGAGGGTTCGAAGAAGAAGCAGACATGGTCTTAAAAAAATAGCTACTTTTTATTCTATCTTTAGTGCTTTATGAAATAAACAATTTCATAACTTAAACTCTGGGAACAATATTCCTAATGAGGGCTGCGCATTGGTATTTAAACCCTTGCAGACCTTGTACATTCCCCATGAGCTGGTATCACTTTTTAGCGTGGCACCATATGGGCGATAACAATTACCGCAAGTAATTTTGACGCGCAGTTTCCTCCCCAGAGGGAGGCACCTGAGCTCTTGACGATGCAAACCTGTATTAGGATTTAATTTTGTTGAGAGAGCTCTAGTCAAATAGACACTCTAGGGATCCTTTACATGATGTATAATCATACGATATGACCGTTATCAATTTTCTTCATCATGAAAATCCACCGACTTGGGCCGGGTTCGATCCCGGCAGAAGGCCTGCGACAAACCAACCACTCCATGAAATCCTAATCCTTATCGAATGTGCTAGAAAATTTGAAATTCAATTATCTGGGTTTGAAGCTCCTTGTTATGATCCTTCTCGATGCCTGATAGCTCGGCCAGCTCCAAGGTTGTTCACTTCACCAATTCCTGGGGGATTTTATGTCGACTTTTAAACTCAAGACTCGCGACATATAGTCACTGTTCACACTTTCTAATACTTTGATTTCACGCTTAACAATCAACGCTTAACCATTATCCCACATACACAATGGCAGGCACTTTAATAGTAGTTACATTTGCACAAAATCGAGTCATTCCTTCAGAAAGCGATTTTTAAACTAAAAACACAGTTAAAGAATATTTTCCTCAAGAAGATTGGTAGAAGAACCCGAATAGTACCCGTTACAGAGTGAGGGAATGAATATTGACGTCGCACTATTCAGTTATTCGAGGGCTTTTGGCGACGCACCTCGTAATTTTGAACCATGGTCAAGAGATGAGGATGACACCTGAGCTGGCACCCCCTCTCCTCACAATCTTCATCACCACACAATCGGGAGGACGTTTGAGCTTAAATAAATTTAACGAGCATCGCCCCTTTGCACGGCGTGTCTTCAGCGGTACTGGGTTTGAACTCATGACACGCCGGCCACGAGTCCGTTACTTTTACCACTATGCTACCGCAATTAATTTCTAGTTTACCAGCCTTACCGGATTTATCCATAACCCCCTATCTCTTCCAAATTAAAAGTTCAGGGTTTTTAAATTAAGCATGATGCAATTAAGCATCACTCGAGAATCTGGACCGATCAGAAGAGCTTTTACCGGAAATCATATGATTTTAATAGCTTCCGGTTGTC